CTCTAAGCAAGAGGGTGCAGCATAACATACTGCCAAGACTAAGATCCTTGAGGGCATTATCATTGTCTCATTACAAGATTAAGGAGTTGCCAAATGACTTATTTATCAAATTAAAGCTCCTCAGATTTTTGGATATTTCTCGGACAGAGATTAAAAGGTTGCCAGATTCCATTTGTGTGTTGTATAACTTAGAGACACTTCTCCTGTCATCTTGTGATTATCTTGAGGAGCTACCACTGCAGATGGAGAAGTTAATCAACTTGTGTCATCTTGACATAAGCAACACTTCTCTCTTGAAGATGCCACTATATCTGAGCAAGTTGAAAAGCCTCCAAGTGTTAGTGGGAGCCAAGTTTCTTTTAGGTGGTTTGAGAATGGAAGATTTGGGTGAAGCACAGAACTTGTATGGATCTCTATCAGTTGTAGAGTTGCAAAATGTGGTTGATAGTCGGGAAGCTGTGAAGGCAAAGATGAGGGAGAAGAATCATGTTGACAAGTTATCTTTGGAGTGGAGTGAAAGTAGTAGTGCCGACAATTCAGAAACTGAAAGAGACATACTTGATGAACTACGCCCACATAAAAACATAAAAGAAGTCGAAATCACTGGATATAGAGGGACAAAATTTCCAAATTGGCTAGCTGATCCTTTGTTTCTTAAGCTGGTGGAATTATCTCTTAGCAACTGCAAGGTCTGTTATTCCTTGCCAGCACTAGGAGAACTCCCTTGTTTGAAATTCCTTTCGATTAGAGGGATGCATGTAATAACAGATGTGATGGAAGAATTCTATGGTAGTTTGTCCTCAAAAAAGCCTTTTAACTCTCTTGTGGAGCTTAGATTTGAAGATATGCCGGAGTGGAAGCAATGGCACCTACTAGGAAGTGTAGAGTTTCCTATCCTTGAGAAGCTTTTCATTAAAAATTTCCCTGAACTCAGTTTGGAGACACCCATCCAATTTTCAAGTTTAAAAAGGTTTCAAGTTGTTGGTTCTTCTAAGGTTGGAATTGTTTTTAATGATGCTCAACTGTTTAGATCCCAACTTGAGGGAATGAAGCAGATTGAAGAATTATATATTAGTGATTGTAACTCTATTACCTCCTTACCTTTTAGCATACTGCCCACTACCTTGAAGAGAATAAGGATATCTGGTTGCCGGAATTTGAAATTGGATCCGCCAGTTGGTGAGATGAGTATGTTTCTCGAGGAATTGAATCTGAAGGGATGTGATTGTATAGATGAGTTGCTCCCAAGAGCGCACAAATTGAGAATTTGGAGTTGCCAGAACCTTACTAGGTTTTTGATTCCAACTGCGACTGAAATACTCAATATTTGGAATTGTGAGAATCTTGAAAAACTTTCAGTGGCATGTGGGGGGACCCAGATGACGTGTTTGAATATTTGGGACTGTAAGAAGCTGAAGTGGCTGCCAGAACGTATGCGGGAACTCCTTCCATCTCTTAAGGAACTACATTTGTGGGATTGTCCAGAAATAGAGTCCTTTCCTGAAGGAGGATTGCCCTTCAATTTACAAGCCCTTCGGATCAAATATTGCAAGAAACTGGTGAATGGGCGAAAGGAGTGGCGTTTACAGAGACTCCCCTGTCTCAAAAAGGTAACCATCTTACATGATGGCAGTGACGAAGAGATTGTTGGTGGTGAGAATTGGGAGTTGCCTTCCTCTATTCAAAGACTTTTTATAGAGAATCTGAAAACATTAAGCAGCCAACATCTCAAAAGCCTCACCTCTCTTCAATCTCTACGTATTGGGGGTAATTTACCTCAAATTCAGTCAATGTTGGAACAAGGCCAGTTTTTGCACCTCACTTCGCTTCAACGTCTACAAATCATTGATTTCCCTAATCTCCAATCTCTTCCAGTAAAAGGGATGCCATCTTCCCTCTCTACACTAGATATTCGTGACTGTCCATTGCTCACACCACTACTAGAATTTGACAAGGGGGAATACTGGCCAAATATTGCTCATATCTCCACCATAAAGATCAATGAGAAATGCCTTTAATGATTAAAACAAATGGTGCTCTCACAAATGTAAGTTTTTCTTTTTCCTCATAAGCATTCTTTTTTCTTTAACTTCCTTTGCTTTTATGTTAATTCTTTTTCTTTATTACATTCTCGTTGCGCAGTATGGAGTGTCTATTGCCACTCTGAAACTGAGAAATCATCTTCAGATTATAATTATTTTAATTTTAGATCTCATTAGCAATTAATGTTACATATCTTACTCGAAGATTTTTATCGCTTGAACTTTCATCTCAATAGCAATTCATGTGTTCTTATTATTTCCCTTTTCAGTCAGTTTAGAGTCATCCACATGTCCACTATCGAATTCAAAACTATAATAGAATCCAAAGGTGTACCATACACAAGATTTGTTTCCTATGTATCAAAAATACAAATGTTTGCCTCCCAATAAATTTAACACCTAAAAGCATCAGCACTATTCAGGTTTTTATTAATGATTCAGCCCCATCATAGAGATCGATTGGGAATACATGTGATGATTAAAACAGATGGCTCTCCAACTGATGTAAGTTATTCTTTTCCATCAGAAGCTTTTTATTTTTGTTTACTTCACTTTGATTTTTTGTTGATTCTTTTCCTTTTTAAAACCTTGTTGAGCAGTGTGGAATGTCTATTGCTCAAGAAAGTTGATTGCTTAATATATGTTAGCAGGATGTCATCACCTTTGGAGATAAAGGGTCCAAGAAATACAACCTCACTTTCTCAATCAGGTAGCCAACACCTTGATAAGAGTTACATCAAGCTTCAAATTTAAAGAAAGTGAAAACAACTTAAATTGCCTGATTCCATTATTGACGTCATGTTGTACCACATTGATTTCAAGTTTGATGCGACTGCATTATTACATCAGTTTTTTTTTCATATTCAAAGATCCAGAATATTACATTAGTTTTTTGGTTTTGATATGCAGAGAACTTTGAGGATTATGAAGTTTCCTTCAAATTATGTCCGTTACTCAACCTCGAGTGGCACCTTACAGCTAGTGGGAAGTCAAGAAAGTATATCCTGCTCGGAATGAAGTCAAGGTTAGATAATTAAATAATGATTTACTGGTGTTTCAGTTACTAAGATGCTTATTTTGTAGTAATAGTTTGCACTCTCATAAATCAGCGAAATAGATTTCCTTCATTGGCACTCTCATCAGTCATCAATCAGCGAAACAGAGAAATCAACGGTTTCAAAATTCTCTGGAACCCATTTCAAGCTTCACGCCTTCAATTCTAATGACACCCAAGACACAGAAGACATCAACATAGTAGAAGAATTCAACCCAATACCCATTTCAACCCAAGTTTTCGATTCCTGCTTCACCTGATGAGAAGAAGTTTATGGGTGAGAAAGTTACAAAGCTGAAAATATCTTCTTCTATCTTTTGTTTTACACATCTTCTGATTGAGTTATAATACATGCCTCGCTTCTATACAAGATGAGAAACCATAAAATGCCTTTATGAAGTGTTTGCGAAGTTGATGTCACCTAATTCAGATTTCACTGAATTAATTTTTGAACCAAATTAATGCATATGTTTGCTCTAACGTTGAAAAGGAAAAACGTTGAATGATATGGATATTTTCCTTTTAAGAATACAAAGTCGCGATAAAGGTAGAAAATTTAGATGGTATTAATTTTGATATGGATCACCGTTGAGAACTTTGCCTGAGGTATTAAATTCTATTTTCCCTCTTTAGAAATGTTTCATGTAGCTCCTAATTGTGATGCTTCATTTACATATTTTTAAAATTTGATCATATAACAGGGATAGAGTGTGTCCGAGTCAATTTGATGTTACAGACTTGCAGCTAACTGTTGTGCGTTATATAATTGCATATTTCTTAGACACCAGATATGACCAAGTTCCATCTACAATGTTAACAGAATCTTTGATAGGTAAAGGAGGCAGACAAAAAAGCTAAACATCTTTTTTCTTCCGTATAGCTCCCAGGCAACTACACAAGGCAATGCTTGATATAAGGGCTTTAGATATACATTTGCAGGGTGTTTATCGTATGAGTAAGGAAATCACTGTCTTCGCTCCCAGCAGACAGTGATTGGAAGATCCATCCTCGCATCACTTAGCACCTTCCAGCAGGCAAGCCTTTTTTTAAAAAAATCTTCTCTTGCATATACTTTTGCAATTTTAAACTTCATTTTGAATTGTGTTGTTGCTAACTTAAACATGTTTGTGCTTAATCAGATGTGGATTTTGAAGGGCTGTTGACACCCAATTTTGACCCTCCCTGATAATAATTAATTTTCGAGCTTTTTAAATTTCAAACAATTTAAAATAATTAGCCTTGTAAAATCCAATTGGTTTCAAGATTATTTTAAGTAATTTTCGTAGATTTCTATAGTAGTTTGAATAATAAATATATTTTACATAATTATTTATGTATTTAGTATATTTTATAAATGGTTGAAATCCATATCAAATGATTTTTACAGTGTTAAAATAAGTAGTTTATTAATTTGGTTTTAGTGTGAGTTATAGTTTGAATTTTGAACTAATTAGTTTATATTTAAATCAATTACTTTGTAATCAAGTTAGTTATTTTATTTTGTATAGATTAAGAAGCTCATTAATTAATTTATATAATTTCATCTTGTCGAGCTTTTGGCCGAATTCACAAATCAATTTCCAACCGGTTAAATTTTCAACCTCAATTGATCATAATTTTAATCGTAATCCCTTTTTTTTTTATTTCTAAGCTTGGTTCTTTTATTTTTGCAATCCAGCAGCCCAAACACTTAAAAAACAACCCATCCCAAACACCAATTTTCAGCTTCAATTCCCAACCCAATAATTCCTGTGACCAAGCCCAATTTCCCCTTTAACCCGGCCCACCCCAATTCTAAAAGAAATCAATACAATCCAATGTTCCCTTTTTTTTCCTCTGTCAACGCATCAAATTCACGGCAACAACGACAATCCCAAGCGGCGTGAGCAACAATTCCTAAACGACACCAACAACAGCGTACAAACGACGCCCTAAAGTCCATCAACTCACGGCGATTCACGGAAAGCTCACGGCGCGAGAAAACGCGTGCCTAGTACAACAACATACTGCTATCCGTCGCCCTCTTCGCTGCAACAGTGCAGTTGCAGCAGCTGCTGTAACAGCGCAGGGTGTCCTTGAGGACGTAGGATCGAGACACGTAGCATCTCAAGGACATCAAATTGATTGAAGTCGTCCATCGCCCTTTCTCCTTCCGGAATGAGACGAATTTTCAAAGAAAAGGTGTCGTCCCAAAACGGGAAAAGAATTTTTTGAATTTGGAATGGGCCTCGTTTCACCCGTTCTTTGCCCTAATTTGAGGGATAAATAGTTCCGGATCCTTCAGGTTTTAGGCAGGATTTTCAGTTGCTGGAAAGGAAGATATATAAACATAAGAATACATATATAAATGGAGAGCGATATTTAGGCAAAAGTCGACAAGAAATTTGATTCTTGTGTTCGCCTCTTGCAAGGCTCGTCGGAATCTCGTTGTGGTATTGGAGTTGCTGTTTCTCTGCTCGTGGTTCTCGGTTTCGCTGCACCCTTGAAGGTAACACTCATCTCTCTTCAAGCATATCTTGCTCATAATGTGTCGTCGCTTGATTCTTAATGCGTGAGCCGTCTGCGTGATAATGTTTGGAGAATACTTCGACTCATTGCTTATCATAAATCAGTATGTAGCTGGTTTGTCTGCTTCTGGACACTGATAAGAGTTGAGTTTTTCCGCCTCATTTGTCTATTGCTGCATCTGTTGATTTATGTTGGTTATATTGTGACCTGGACTTTTGCAAATGTATTGGAATATTGGGTTTTTATTGTTATTACTCTTATTGTCCTAGTTTTTCTATAACACCTCTATGATCGGTTTCAAAATTCCTATTAATCTTATTCTGTGTCTATTTGTTGTAAATATGCTTATGGCTCAGGTTCTAGTGGCAAATCGTAATGTATGCTTCATGTTTATTTGGATTTGTTCACTTCGATTTAATAATGAAACTTGTCAAAAATCGGTGCTTACCTTAGCCCATAGGTTGTTATCTCCGATAATCTTATGTTGCTATTCAGGGGTCAAGCGTGTCGAATTATTAGCAGTCTATCTAGCTAACGGTGTTCATCATAAGTAGCGGTTATATTCTTCTCAGATAGTAGCTTAAGCTTTAACTGATTTTTACTACTTTAGCATGATATAACTCACCAAATATTTGAGGAATCAGATTATTTCCCTTGGATTTTCACTGATGGTTGGCCCGTACTTGAGTTACTGTAAGTAGAACATTTGGTCACGACTCGTTAGCTTATCCACCATATATTTAATTCTTCCTGCAAATATTCAAATGCTTGTCCTATATAAAAAAATAATAATATATATATATATATATATATTAATTTCTATCCATTAGTTTATAGTGTTATTTCCAGTGAAGTCCTTGAATATGCATTTTAGTTGTTTGTGCTAGTAGCTGTTCAATTAAATAATCTTTTTATGTCTCATAGTTTGATGAATCCATGGCTGTTTACTGCTTCTTCGTTAGTAAAATCGCTTAATGATGATCATGAATTACTCATGTTAATTCTTTCCTTCCACTTTCCTTACATGTGATGCTTCGCCGAGTCTATTTGGACTTTTCCCATTGCCTCTTTGCATTTTCGAGTATCGAGTCAGCCCTCCGATGTTCAAGAGTGAAATGGAATTGGCGTACAGGTGTTTGGAGCTGATATACGGGATTGTATACATTAGTATACACCTAGTGTATACGAAAAAATGAAAAATGGGCATAAAGTAGCCTTAAATTTTCAGCTTTTGTATTTTTGTAATTATTGGACTAAAAGCCCATTTATTTTGATTATTATTGTGTTAGTTTAGGACAGGTACCAAGTGTTGGGCCAAAAGCCCCAAAAGCAGAAATCAGGCCCAAGTATTGGTCCAGGCGAACAAAAAAAAAAAAAAAATCCAAACTTGGGCCCAACTCTCTTTCCCTCTTTACTTTATTGTGTTCATTTACTTACTAGTATTTGTCGTTAGTCTTAAGGTCGAAAAATTCAAATCCCCGAAAAACGTCTATTTTGATTTAATAATTTAACTAAACCAGTCATCTCTTAAACAAGACTTAAAGGAATAATTTTGCAGGATAGCTCACTTAGACAATATTTAAATATTTCCTCTTTTCCCCCTTTAAAAATAAGTTTTAACTATAAAATAGATCAATTTCGCAAGTCAAGCTAAGTTAAAATTATTTTAGTCAAGTAGTTAATCGTCGGATAACCACATTAGTGGATATTTTAGGTGTCTTTAAAACCATCCTAGAATATTAATAAGAACCTCGAACCCCCCTTTTAAAATTTTCATTAGATTCCATGTTTTAATCTTTTGAAAAAATAGTTTTCTTGATTTTTCTTAAAAATTAAGTGGCGACTCTAAACCAGTCCAAAATAATATTTTCTTAAATAAAACAAGGGCGAGTACGACAAATCTGGTCCATCCATTGTCCACAAGAAGTGCTTCTAAGGTGTTGCTGCTATTTTTACATTTGTTCGCGAGTTCTTTTTTATTTTTTTTGTTCTTTCTGCTAAAGCTATTATGTCATCCACAGTGAACTCAGGTCTGCTGTTATAGGCAAGTCATCGAGATGGGGCTATCAAAGAAGGGTGATTAAAAACATTGTACCGCTGATACTATTTCATGTTTCCAGTGCAAGCCTCTTTTGTAAGTTGACAAACTCGATTTGTAAATATGTTTGGGACTCAACTAGTGGTTAGAGTATTGATTTTGTAAGATTTTTGTCCAGAAAATCAAATTAGAAAGATTACTCGCGATGATTGAATAAGCTCGAAGAAGTGGATTTGAATTTCAATTCGTGTCTTTTTTTTATGTGTGTGTGTGTGTGAGAAATTTGAAGTGTTGTTTAGATTTGTTGGAATAGTCAAAAGACTATAAAATTTGAAGACATTTGATGGAGATCTGATTAGATGATTTTGAACAACAATTGCAACTGAAGATGGATATGTATATTATTTTCGTAGTTAGCAACGTGTTATATATTTTTATAGTGGATATATTGTTTTCTCATTCGGTGATGGGCATCCACATTGGAGTCCGACTAAATTCGGATTTGCACATTTCGACAGGCGGCGCTCTTGACATGATTTTTTCCATTCCACGGCTTATGCTCCTAAATTCTAATTAAGGGTAGAAAAATCTCAACTATTTCACCACAACTCATATCCGTTATATTGGATATACAAGTGTAAACTAAAAAATATAACTATGTAGGTGCAAGTATTTTTGAAAAAAACCCAAATAACTAGCCAATATAAAGAAAGAATACTAAATCCTACACTCCTATGCACATTCTACTGCAAAACACAAGTAGAAAAACTTCAAATTTCGGCCATGAAATGACACCATTTTCTCACACTCAAAATGATGTTAAATTTCATGAATGAAACAATACATATTACTTAGGTTGAAGCCCCATTTTCTTCCTCGTTTTCCCACAGTATAAATCCTTAGACTTGATCATCCCAGGGACTAATCCAACGATCGTTGTGAACGAAAATTGAGCCACTGCATCTTGCCTTCCTAACTAAACGATGATCTTAGGCGATGATCGAGGCCCATATATTGCAAGTTCGCATTCTTTTCCTCCGCTCATCAAAAGTCTCAAGTTCTTCGCGGCCACTAGAGCATGTTTTTGAGCTGAATATCCTTGTTTAAGTTCCTGGTAATGAAGAAGCATTAGAATTCAATTGAATAATCCTAAGAACATACACTGTATAGTTCCACAAGTGGAGTCTAGGGAGGATAGAGTTTACACTAACATTACCCCCTACCTTGTCAGGTAATAATTCAAATGAATAATAGATTCGAAAAATGCAAGTACTAGCTAGCTGCTTCAGGTCCTCTGGCTACTGCTATATTATCAAAAAGAATCAAGATGCCTTTTAAATCGACAACATATCCAATGTAATCCACAAGTGGAGTCTAGGGAGGGTTATGTGTAAGCAGACCTTACCCCTATCGTAAGGAAGAAAGTTTGTTTCCGATACTAGGTTGTAGTTTCTCTGTTGCAACAAAACTAAAAAATCACCACCCTTCACATTTGGTCGAACAATGCAGACTAATATCAATCCATGTCATTTCATGAATAAGATGTGATCAATTAACCAACCAATTCCTAGCCAATGATGCTCTCTTCTAGCTTTACCTACATGGCGAGGGAAAAATCAAAGGCGAGGTGGAAAATGGCCTGCTACATCAAGAAATAGAACTGACTAATCCTAACTCCTAAGTCAGAGGGTCGAGAAACTCAATACCACTATTCTCAAACAACTTGGAGCAGGGCCTTCGTTCTGCACTATTACTGATATGAAAATAATGGTCAAAATCAGATTAAATTGTCAATTGCCTCCATTGGAAATATAGAATTGACTATTGACTTTGAAGGAACTGGAGTTACATCTTCTTTTCCATTCAAGAGATTTTATGCGTTTTCACGATCTTTTAAGACCGTGAAAAATGGACAAATTTATTTTCTTAGAAACACATACAAGATTCGTCACTACAAAAAGCATATATTTTCAAGAAATAAGAGATATGCAGTTTAGTGCTTACCTTAATATCAGTTATATCTCCAACAGCAAATATGTTTCTATGACCCTTGATTCTAAGATTTTCATCAACCTTCAATCTTCCAAAATTACGATTCGATCCTTCAAATACGTCTCCCTTAACTACTCTGAACCCGGTGGCTTCCCCGTGCTAAGAAAATGGCCATCCTCTCTGATAGTTTCCCCAGACGAGGTGAAATATGTTCTGTTTCCAACCGAGCTGTACATGTTATTACTCATATCGACAGATTGCATCAATTTCACTTCCATATTCTTGTTTTTAACCATTCTAAATTCTAGTAGTCTAGATCCATCTTGCACCAAAGTTACCTTCTTCTGAGGAAAATCGACAGTGATTTCTGCAGCAAGTTTAACACTAGTAGGCCACCACCAACAATCAATACTGCTTTTATCTTTTCATTCTCTGCAACAAAGAACCTCGCAACATTTTGACTAGTACATCTCAACATTCATCACAAGACAATTGACTGAATCCCGTGAAAACTTGCTAGAGGAGCCGGTTTACAAATAAATAATCTCCGCCTAATGGATACAGAACACCCATGCTTTAGCTTTGTTTTATCATTTCCCGTAAAGGACATCAAAAACAGCCTAGCCTCTCGCCATTTTGACTTGTAATATACAACCTGACAAGACAATCGCAAAAGAAAAGATCTAATCACTAGTATGTCTCGACGTACAACATATCCAATGTAATCCCACAAGTGGTATTTGGGGAGGGTAAGATGTACACATACTTTACCTCTACCTTTGCGGGGTAGGGAGGTTGCTTCCTGTAGACCCTCGGCTCAAAAGAAATGAAGAAATAATAGCATCGTGCAAGAATATATGATAAACAAAATTACATTATACAAAGCAAATGAAGCAACATATAGTAATATACACTGGAAAAAAAGGAAGCTACGCAATTACTAAATATTAATACTAGTACATCTCGAACTCTTTGTGAAATAGTAGAGCAGTCATGATCAAGACAATTGGCTGAATCAAATTAAATAAAACCTGACAGAAGAGCCGGTTTACACATAAAGAATCTTTTCTCAACAGATACAAAACACTAATGCTTTAGCTTCTTTTTATCATTTTCCAAAAAAGTTGACACGATTATTTGATTTCAACAAAACTTTCCACGATAAACGTACAAGTAATTTGCTCGTTGAAAAGCAGACAATATGGTAAATCTAACGAATTAAGCACAACTATCTAAACCAACTTCAACTCACCACACTAAATTTTAAACTAAAAAAAAATATTCTCTTTATATTCTTCTTATAATGGTATATTAAATTATAATTTATAGTAAAGGTATATTAAATTACATTTTATAAAATTATAATGTAATGTTATTTATTAATAATGTATTATATTTGCATTTTAATAACGGTATATTTTCTCTACCTAGCTCATGATTTTTGTTGTTTCAACTTTTCCAGTGACTTCATTTAGAGTTGCACCCTTGTGCTTTGATAAAATGCAGAATCTTATGTATAAAAAAATACAAGAGGTCATTTCTAGATAATTTAACATCTAATGATCTAATAAAGCATCTTGTTTCAGTTGGTGAAAGTTTATATCCAATAAAAATATGTCAATTTGGTGGTATGTCAGTCCCCACCAAAGACTAAACTATAGGGTCTCAACTCATTACTCATGGTGGCATGTATCTATTGATTTATTGTAAAAAAAAATACGAATGTGTCTTCATCCCATCTGAATTTGCTTGGTAATAATTTACTATATATGAGGTGTTTTAGTTCGCACTATCGAGAGGACTTTATTACAATTTTCAACCAAGAGAAAATTTTATCTCTGATCTTGTATATAAGAAAACAACTACAAGGGAAAACTTTTATCATTTTACCAAAGCTCTTGGTGTTATCGAATTTCCAACTTCTTGACGTGTTTTCAAGTATAATAAATTTATGATAGTATAGAAAGAAAGAAATGAAAATAAAACATTATTGTTGGGTGAAAAGTGATACTCATGGAAAGGACACAGGGGCGGCTCAACGTAACTGGAGGCCTAAAGCGAAATTTTATTTGAGGCCTAAAAAAAATCATACATATTTATTTAAAAATTATTTTTCTAATTGTTTAGATGCACATTATTACTTCAACTTTTTAATAGATGATTTATTTGAGTACTTTTTTAAAAAAAATTAATTAATTTTAGGTAAGATTTTATCAATTCAATGCTGAAAAATATCCTTTTACTAAAGCAATCATTATATGAATTGTTAACATAATTCTCTAAGGAATAAGTTGACAAACTTTAAGCAAAATAAGAGTTAGAACCATAGAATCTGATTCAAGACGTTGATAACTTGATATACCTAACTTTGATTGAAAATTTAAGTTAAAAAAAAATTGCGATTCACTTTGTTCAACATTGTTCGACTAATGATTCAGATTTATGATAGAGTATTACTTTAACTTATCAAAGATTTGTAGAAAAAGAGTGAAAAAGGAGTTTTAAAATAAATAAATAATGTGAATATTAGTTAGCAAAGAAATGTAATAAGACAAAACAACGTT